CTTGATGAAATTCCGGGGATATCCATTCTTTTGGAAGACGTCCATGAGATACTTTTCTTCAATTTTTCTTAAGGTGGGAGTGCTGCAGTGAGTCCTTGCTCTCTTGAATAGTGTTTGTATGCAGTTCCTTTTGTGTGCTATTGGGTTGTTGCTGTTGTAATTCAGTATTTGGTCTGTGTGAGTTGATTTCCTATAAACTTGAGTTTCTAATTCTCCTGTAGTTGTTCGCCTGACTAAGACGTCCAAAAATGGTATTTTGTTCTCGGATTCCTCTTCTCTTGTGAATTTGATGTCGTTGAAGACGTTGTTTATTAAGTTGTGAGTTTTGTCTAATTCGTTTCTTTTGATTATTACAAATGTGTCGTCGACGTAGCGTATCCAAATCTTGGGTTTGATCTTTGGTAGAATTATGTTTTCGAGTCTTTGCATCACTGCTTCTGCAATCAAACCTGATATTGGTGATCCCATGGGTGTTCCTTTGACTTGTTCATATATTTGGCCGTTGAATTGGAAGTATGTTGTTAGGCATAGATTTATGCATTCTATCCAGCTTGTGTGTTGCATTTTTGATTGTTGTGGAAGTTGTTCGTCGTTGCTAAGTAATTGCTCCATGGTTTCTTTTGCTAGTTTTTGTCCGATAGAGGTATATAATGCTGTCACGTCGAAGGATACCATTATTTCTTGTTCATCTATTTGGATGTCTCTGATTTTCTCTAGGAATTTGATAGCAGAGTTGATGGAGTGATCACAGGATTCCGTTAGGTGTTTTAGTTTTCTGTATAATTCCTTGGACAAATTATATGTTGGAGTTCCAATGGGAGACAATTGGTTTTTTTTTTTTTTTTTTTTTTTTTTTTTTTTTTTTTTTTTTTTTTTTTTTTTTTTTTTTTTTTTTTTTTTTTTTTTTTTTTTTTTTTTTTTTTTTTTTTTTTTTTTTTTTTTTTTTTTTTTTTTTTTTTTTTTTTTTTTTTTTTTTCGTAACAAAACAAAAGCCACCAAGGAAAACACAAAGAAAGTCGCCTTACCATATATAAAGGATATCTCAGAAATCACTAAAAGACTCTTCAAACCTTTAGGAATTGACGTCGTACACAAACCAACAAAGTCGCTGCACTCAATTCTATGTCAACCAAAAGACTCAACAGCAAAAGAAGACAAAACCAACATCATCTACAAAATAAACTGTAACAACTGTGAAAAACACTACATTGGCCAAAGTGGACGTCCCCTTCGTCTTCGTATCCACGAACATAAGCTAGCCGTCAAAAGACATGATATACACTCCCTCATTTCACTACACACAGACAACCACGGACATCAATTCGACTGGGACAACGTTCAAATATTAGACAAAGGAAATAACAAGAATGCTAGAGAATTTTTAGAAGCTTGGCATTCCAGCGAATCATCAATCAATAGACACATCGAGATAGACAAAATTTATCAACCAATAAGAAAGAAACTTCACACATGATTGGCCAAAGTTCAAGTCACAGAAACAATCAGTTCCAACACAAGTAACCTAGAAGGTGTGAAAACATACATAAACAACCAATCACGTCCAAGGTCACCAGGAGGAATGATTAATAAACTCGTGGAGAAACCTAAAAGCTCACTTCAATTTGAAGTATGCGCTGAAGATGTCACCCAGTAAGGTGATGAAAGCTTCGCAAACTAACTATCCAGCTCAGAGAACAAAACCACATCAAAAGTAATGTGAGAGGGCTAAGAGGCAAAATAGCTGAACTTAGACACCTACAATCACAACTAAACTCCAAAATCATAATACTGACGGAAACCTGGCTAACCCCTACGGTGGCAGACAGCGAAGTCAGTATAAATGATATGGTCCTAGTCAGGCGAGATAGGGACCTGAAAGAAGGAGGTGGAGTCGCCATATACGTCGACAAACAGCTCAGATGTGTTCACGCGATGGACCCTCCCCTCACAGAGCTCCCTGACTCCATATGGTGCCACTTCACCGTTGGGTACTGCAAATATCTAGTGGGCAGCATTTATCGATCACCTTCATGTGGAGCAGACCACAACCAGGTACTGCTAAATACAATCTCAGCAACTCAAGACATGGGTTATGATCAAATTGTCATAGCTGGTGACTTCAATGCCCCATCTCTTAACTTGGTGTCGGGAAAAGCCCATGATAGATTTGATCGAAATCTGCTGCATACCATCAGGAAGGCTGGATTCACTGAAAATGTCAAGATGGATACTAGATGGGGCCCTGATGGGAAGTCTTCTAGACTGGATTACGTGCTCACTAGTGACCAGCTACTAGTGGAAAACGTTCAGATCACGACTCCCATAGGTAGTAGTGACCACGCGGTCATAGTATTCGACATAGTCCTCCGCGAGCGCTTACAGTGGGACAATACACAGCCCTATCTGTGTTATAACAAAGCCAACTTTACCAAAATGCGAAGACTTCTGTCTGAAGCAAACTGGCCTAAAAAATGGACAGAGCTAACAGTAGAAGAACACTGGAGAGTGGTAAAGGAAATCATTCACCAGGCGGTCTCAGACACTGTTCCTTTAGTCTCACCAAAAGCTAGGAAGCAACGATCATGGCTGAAAAGAGGGACACAACGCCTTCTGCAGGCAAAGCGAAAAGCCTGGTTCGCGTGGCGACGATCGAAGAGTCAACCCGAATATGAAGTGTACCTTGAACTCAGGAATCGATGTAACATACGAGTCCGGAGCGATAGAAGGACATTTCAGGGAGACCTCGCCAATAAGCTTCTCGTGAACCCCAAAAGCCTATACAGGTTTATGGCCGAAAGAAAACCGACCAACCAGGGAGCATGCAATCTAGTGGGTTCTGATGGGAAATCTCTTACTAGTCTTGAAATGGCAGAGACATTCAGCCTAGCCTTTCACAGGCAACTAAATAGTAACGAGGATATTACCCCTACAGAACATCCAGATTACATCGCAAAACCAACACACGAAAACCTGCTGGGGACATTTCAAATTACCCCGGCTATGGTACTTGCAAAATTGGGAAGGTTGGCTTCGGGAAAGTCTCCAGGTTGTGATGGCATCAGACCATCTGTCCTGAAGCAGTGTTCAGAAAGTCTCTGTCAACCCCTAAGTGATCTGTTCCAACACTCCCTTGATGTAGGGAAACTTCCATGTGAATGGAAACGTGCAATCCTATCCCCTATCTTCAAGGGTGGTGACCGGCAGAATGTGACCAGTTACAGACCAGTTGCTCTACTTCCAGTGGTATCGAAGATATTGGAAAGTCTCATTGACGACCACATGAGAAAATACTTCGATGGGACTAACCTTCTTCACGAAGCACAGCACGGTTTCAGGAGGGGAAGATCCTGCGTGACGAATCTTCTACTAGCCTGGAACGATTGGACACTATCCTGGGACAAAAAGGTACCAGCCCACGTGATCTTTCTCGACTTTGCGAAAGCATTCGACACAGTTCACCATGGTCTGCTCCTTCACAAAATAGGCAAGGCGGGAGTTTCTGGAGCACTTCTCGCATGGCTGACAGATTACTTAGGCGAGAGAGAATTCTGCACCAAAGTCAACCGCATCCGATCATCCTGGCACACCTCGGCATCAGGGGTTCCTCAGGGTTCTATCCTAGGGCCGTTGATGTTTTTGATTTTTATCAATGACCTGCCCCCCCAACTAAACTGCTCTGCGCTTCTTTACGCTGACGACGTAAAGATTTGGAGAGCAATAAACTCATCGGAAGACTCAGATAGATTGCAGGCTGACCTGCAAACTCTGGGAAATTGGGCTTTGGCTAACGGAATGCCTTTCAATCTAAAGAAGTGCAAAGTAGTGCAGCTTCATTCCGGCAGGTCACAGAGTGTAAATTACACCCTTGGTGGCCAGAACTTGAGTTGTGTTCCATCAGAGCGTGATCTAGGTCTTATTCTAACAGAAAAGCTAGACACCAGTGGAAATTACTCGAGGGACGTCGCCAAAGCCTACGCAACATTACACTTTATGCACAGGCAGCTGGGAGCTCTCACTCCCGAACTGTTCTTAAGGCTATACAAGGCATATGTGAGGCCACACCTTGAGGTGCATAATATCATTGCACCTCCGCTACTCAAAAGGGATGCTAACATTCTAGAAAGTGTCCAGAGACGAGCGACAAAATGGGTGATCGGCCTCCGCAACAAATCATATGAGGAAAGACTAAAGAAATTAGGTCTTTTCACACTTAGTTACCGTAGGCACAGGGGAGACCTCATCACCGTCTACAAGATCCTAAATGACCAGGCCCACCCAAATAAAAGCATCCTGCCATTAAGCGATTATAGGCTTCCACGAGGTAACCCGCTAAGGATAGCACACCAGAGACCAAAGACTCGAGTGCGATCACATTTCTTTTCGCTTCGTGTTTGCCGTCTCTGGAACGCTTTACCGGCGGCCGTGACTACAGCGCCATCTCTGGAGATTTTTAAGCGGAAGCTAGACAATCATGCAGAAATGCAAGGTTTGTGTCTCAATGGCTTATCCTCATAAAATTTGAAACCAAACTGTCAATGAATAAGCGTACAAACTAAATCCCCACGACCTATTCTGCCTTCTCTCACTCTATCTTTTCCTTAGGTCACCTTTATTATTCCACTTATCTCAACCTATATTATCTACACTACAACCTATTATTATTATTATTATTACTATTCTGCTTTTATGACTACACCGAATGACCAAGGGGAGTTAGGTCAAACTCCATTCACGGCAGCAATACAGTCCTAACATACTGCATACTACAAACCACATCTCGACCAATCCCCGCACCACTCCTCCTGGAGTCTACCAGAGCTAAAGCAGTCGAGTGTCGGGACTTACTACGCAGAAGCTCACCGAAGATCTGGAACCTCTACCTCACAATCAAGAAGCGAGCTCAAAGAAATCACTGGTTTATACTAGCTCGTAATCAGGATATTGGATATTGAATGACCGCAAGTTTTAATGATGAGCTATAATGCAGACTTTTTGAAAAGATGTTAATTATTCGTGGATTAGTGCTCACATTATCTTTCCTTTTATTTTCAGCCATAGTTTTCTTTTGTCTACCAGCCAGGAATGTTTTTCTATGGCACCCAATTCTTATGTGTTCTGGATTTCTCTTGGCTATGCTCAATGGTATACACACATTAAGTAGAGATTCCTTCGCATTTTTGACGAGCAAGTCCGAAAGGGTATGCAATTTTTCCTACTTAGAATCTTTCAATCGATGAGCTAAACAGTTTTATTCGTGGCTGATTGTTGATGGAAAAAAGCTTATTTGTACATATAGTTGTTGATTCAATTACTACTTTAATTTGGTTACTTAGAAGAATGCACCACACGTCGAAAATATCTTCCTTCCCTCATTCTCTGAAGTTAAATTTAATTGCTTCACACATTTTAACCCTAAGAAAATAGCACGGATCTTTCTTATGGATGCATAAGAATGATTCCGGATATGCAGGTCTACATAGGTCTGCAGCTGCAGACTTGCTTGTGCATCGTGTCTTGAGTTTGTTGCATATTTCTGTCAGAAAGGACAAAATCTTACATCTTATCTGTTTTTTTATCAGGCAGTGCCGTCCAAACTGATTTCTTTGTGCTCCATTGTTTGTTGTAAAGCACAAGGTCCTGACTTTTGATAAAGTTCTGAGTAGCGTATCCATCTTCTCGACTGCCGTAGCTTTGTTTGACACCAGGAGGAGTGATGCGGAAAATATTATATATGTGTATATATATGTAATTTCAAAACATGTGACAGCAGTTCTCAAAAATAAATAGTATACCATTTATTCGCTGGTTGGCAAGACATACTAAACTTAGGTATATTCTCTACGAATCAGCGTGAGCGACTTACCACTTCGATAAGTTCCTCTACTGGAGAGCTAGTATGTACTTGAAGACACTTTCAAGACGCCTTTAACAGAAGAAAGTAAACTATTCAATTGTGAATATCAAAGAGTTGGTAATCCCATCTTCAGAAAGTTTTAAAAATAGCTATAAATGGTAGACAATTGGATATTTGCACGTCATTGTCCTAACGGAAACAAACGTTTCATTTTTCTTATATAAGACTTTGGCCAAGTGTACTTAGCAAGGTTGAATTCACCAAGTGTCAAGAAGGTTATGCTACTTAGGTCAAAAAATACTTCTCAACCACGGTACTTTCATTTTTTTAAAGCATTTGAACATGCTTTCGAAATATTTCTGCGAATAATCAGACATTTACTTCCATAAAATTAATGGGTTGGAGTTCCCATTTCATCAAACGTTATTTCTTAAATAGTTACATGTTTTTGAATGATGCTACTCTGCGGTATTATTATCTCTGTTTGATCATACAGGACGACTAATGAGTCAAAGGACCAAATCCATTCACAGAATCGACATGGTCTTTACACACTGCGTTCTGTGAACAATGTATATATATATATATATATATATAAGAACAAAATAGATAGGAAGTTCGTATATATGAAAAATTTTGAAAAAGCAACCAAATCTTGTAATGCAGGTAGAAATTAAAAGCATAAAAATAGCAGAAATAATCAGGAACGTTGGATAACAAAAGTAATAGGATACTCCTTATTGGTGAGACTGACTTTTCATAATAGCCACGATTGGATGTATTTCTCTTGAGCACATAGCTTGGGTTTAAGTTTTTGGACTATCGGTGCCTTAGATATTCCTCTAGGCATGTTTTTTACAACACCGCTTTTTTTAACAAAACCCCTCAGCTAACTCTGGTCATAATGTATCCTTAGAAGTTGAATAAAACTAACCATTATTGAATGCCTCGGTCCTTTTATTGCTACATTTACCATTGATATGCTTGTGCAGCACACAACTTAAATATAGAAAAGTTAGGTTGAAGGATTTGAGAACATTGATGACAGAAAACCTACTAAATACGACCTCGTGATTTAAACTTTTATTTCTATATTTATATTTTTAGCTCATTTAGTATTATCGTAGCTATTCATCTCAATCTTTTACCTGGATTCCATTCTATCCAATACTTCATTTGCCAATTGTTTACTTTTAGATCAGAAACCTTTCTGAAACTCCCGAGATTTTTGTGAATGTTTCAATGACCTTTGGTTCTCAGCTGAAACGTAGTACTTTGTTTACAGGGAAAATTTCTTTCTAACAGCTGTACTGTTAGAAAGACTAACAGCAGTACATGTGCGTCGGTGGCACAGCGGTTAGGACGCTCGCCGACCATGCACATAGTCCAGGGTTCGATCTCCGGCCGGTACACTCGTTTACCTCGCTAAGCCAGTAATATAACTGTCAAAGAGGGAAGGTTGGGTATGAGGCTAGCAACCCCATCTTGTAAAAATAAACACTGTTACAGGAACTTCAAGCCTATAGCTTGAAGCCCTATGTTCCACTGGGAACACTAAGGAATAAAAAAAACAGCTGTACTAACGTCGCCATCATTGCATATACTTGTTATAAGAATTTGTTAGTACTAATTTTTGTTAATCGGAAAATCCATAAAGTTCAGACGAAAGAAGTGTTAACGTGCGGTGTAATTTAAGAAATACCAAAAGACTGTTGAGCTTTGGAAAGTTTGAGAACAAATATTTAAGCAGCAGTCCCTGTAGCTGCCACACTTTATTTTAATTTACCATGTATACACATATATTTGGTGTCTAAATGAGCAAAGTTAATGTTGCGTGTCCGACAAATGTTTAGTATTCACTGGCTCCTAATATCGCCTGGATCCTACACTGTTTTGAATTCAAATCAGATGGCTTGATTACCAGAATTGATAAGTATCATAAGGATCTGAACTAAAGAATGCATGATACGCCTCATGTTTGTTATATGTTTAACTATCAGTGATCTCGATTCAAAACAAAATCTGATGATATTGAAATTTATTTATTCGTGTTCTACCAAAGTGTGTGAGGTTAGTAGAAGCCCTCCTTCAGTTTTGTAGTACTACACCACAAAAACGTTTTCTCCGGTTTTAATTAATCCTGTGAAGACAACCTTATAGTTTCCATCTGGTATGGCGTACAGTAGATGTTCAGAGATTTTGATATATCTTTCACATATAGTAGTATCGCCTTTCAGTGCACAAATTAAGAATTACAAAGTCGACGATTTGAGATAAACTCATCGAGAACCCCCCAACGACTTTATCTAGAATTCCAGAGAACACCACTAAGGAAGTCTACGCTCTCAGACTAATGCTGAATCACTTCATTGACCGGACACTAGGGAGTAACCAATGTCATGAATCCAGTCCTTTGTATAGGTGCTAAGTGAATTACTTAGTGGATCGGCACCATGTCTTCGTCTACCATTTAGACTCTTTACCAACTCAACCCGACCTCAGTTAACATCATTAGTCGAGATAGTCAGTTTTGGTGTTTATAAGACATGTTCTTGCCTTAATTGGTAAAGATTCACACTTAATCTATTGACTTCCATTTTTCCAAAGCTACAACTAATCTCATCATACCTTATCTTCAAGGTCTACCCGTAGTCAAAGATCTCTAATTTTTTCACATTTCGTGTCTTCGCTGGGGATATTTCACAACCATAGAGTAAGATAAAACAAATTGCTGCATAGTGTATGCCTCTTTTATTAAGCGGTTAAATGTTATGGCTGCACTAAACTTGATGTGAGGTGTCAAATGCTAAACGAGCCTTTTGTGTCCGTGCTAAAAGTTCGATAACAGTCAGAGCGTTAGGGTTGATGCAATTTCCTAAATGGTTGGATTGGTTTATATATATATATATATATATATATATATATATATATATATATATATATATATAACCATTCTACTTCTTATAATTAACTGAGAATATTTGTAGACTAGTCTTGCAGTATCATTAATTTAGCAGGCATGCAACGTACGCTAGATATACTCACATCTTTGCATCATGTGATTATCGATCTACGGAAGTGTGACAGAAATACCCGTGATTCCTATTAATCTAGCAATTAGTTCAACACTTATATAGTCATACCTTTATATCCCACTACTTCACCCCTATTAAGTTTATAGACGTCTTTGACAACCTTCTGTAGAGTTGGAGAGCACATTATTTTCTGAGCAAGACGACTATAAGTCTTAGTTTATAAATGACTGAGTCAGTGGTCTTCTGGTTGCCTCCTAACTCAGTTCTTTGCTTTATTTTTTAATCAAGCTGATTTATGCATATACATGTGTATGAATTTGATGTTTTATGTAAAATTCATTTATTTCACTACTTATTACAGTGATATACCCGTGAATATTTTCTGATTTAAATTCATGCTAACAAAGTGAAATTTCCGTCTGAGAATTGATTCGCTTCCGACATCATCATTACGTACTGTAGCACATCTTAAGTCATGTATACCAGATAATTTGTATTGTGTATTGAATATCTCAATCTAATGTACCTTAAAGTTTACATTAATTCTTTTCAAAAATGTGTTTTCATAATGTTGGCCAATAATTACTATTTTTGAAAATTTTAGATAAAAGCTCACTGGATATTTGAATCTCTTGCAGCACTGCTTCTCTTCCTTGGTTTTATTGCAATCTATGCTAATAAAGTACTAAATGGCAAACCACATTTTACTACATGGCATGGTTTATTAGGTCTTTTTACAGTTATATACTGCATTTCCCAACTTCTGTTCGGTTTTGTTTTCCACTGGAACTATAATTTGTGGCGAAGTGTACTAACTTACAGTACTGCAAGATTTCTTCATGCTGTATCTGGAACTGTATTATACTGTTCAGTATCGCTTACTTTCATACTGGGATTCTATACGAATTGGTTCCAATCAAATATTACTCTTCTTTTCGGTTCAAACAGCACTACAGTCCTGTATTCATGTTTATTGATAGTTTGTTTAGGAGCTTTTAGCGTTTTTCTTCAAATTGTAGTAAAGTATAACAATTTTATTCAACTGAAATTATCTACCTCGCGAACATAAACATTGTATATGTAACTATTTTAATAGGGTTCTCGCAATTCTAGCATTTATTCGCCTCACCTTCTTTACTTTAATACACTGTCTTATCTTATAAGTGAGTGCTCAAGTGCCTGATAAGTATTTTTATCTGTGTATTTATTTTCTATTTAAAATTCCATATATCTTTTTTTAATCTTTTATTTACCTTCTATAATATGCCAAATAAATAATTTCGCAATGCATAACTTACAATGAATTTAATTTTTTAATTTGATTCAGGGAATACAATTTTACTTAAAATGAACTAATAATAAGCGCAAGAATAAAATACTGTGTTTAATAGATAAATTGTACGTAGCAGATATTAAAATTAAAAATTTTCCTTTTGAATCAGAAGGTTGAATTTCGAGTGATCAGACTTTGTCGAATAGGTCCTTCGATCTCGATTCCACTGCTTCCCTAAAAGAAGAAAATAAAAAAATGTTAAGAGGTGTTAGTATCCTCAAGAAGTTCTGCAACTACAACTTATTTAACAGTTTAACGTTTGTTTTTGGCACTATTAGAACATTGGTGGTGTATTTCTTGTTCTCAGATAAACATTGTTAAGCATGAATGGTTGTTGAAAAACAATAGATACTCAGAAGTGAAGAGGGACTCTTAGAAAAACTTTATTTTTTATTTTCCTGTCACAAGTGGCGGGAGGCTGTAGACTTTGCATAGTATATGGTATAACAATATGGTGCATCGATGGCATAGCGGTTAGAACGCTCGCCGACCATGCAACCGCATCCTGTGAAAATAAACACTGCCACAGAAACTTCAAGCCACTAGCTTGAAGCCCTATGTTCCACTCGGAACGTAAAGGAAAAAAAATAATAAATGGTTTCTCCTAATCAATTTCTACTCATTTGATCTAGTCTTGAAAATGGAACATCCAAGTCTCCTATTTGTTTGTATCCTATCAGCATTCTGTTTGAAGCCTATCTTTTCTGTCAATCCGGAAGAAGGATATTCTTCACAATAAATTCTCTTCAGATACTTTCAGTTATAAAATATAGTATTTATTGATACAATAATAACCAGTTACACGGCAGATACATTTTTATGTAGAATGACAGATTCATTACACGCGACATAATAAACAGTATTTGTTTGGCAAACGTGCTTGACTGAATGCAGTTACAAAACGTTGTGAATTGCTAGACGATGGTGGTAATTAGTCATTATAAGTTCGGAAAATATGGGAAGAGGAATTGACAAGTCATTTCAAGGTTATAGGTGTCAGCTAGGAGGCTAGTACAAAATAGTATGCACTAAATAGGAGATATTAAGATCGCGGTGAGTAGTTCGTCATGAAATAATCAGTATGTGAAACGAAATAAGTGGCGTCATATATTCAGAAAAGAGATAATATCACTAATAATAATTCAGAATAGCGTAAAGTGAGAATCCGAAAGTACTGAAAGAATGTTAGTTTGAAGAGCATTGTGGTTTAAACTGTTAAGACGATGACAAGCGGAACCGAAATAAGAGATAAGGGGAAATGCACTGTTGGAGGGGAGAAGAAATTTTAGTCCAGGTTTGGCCACGGTCGGAACAGAAACTGAACGTTATCTTTTTGAATAAAAAGTCCCAGTTTAGTTGATCTTATTGCAACAGCTTTAGCTTTATATATGAAAAACGGAGGGGAAGTGACAGCATTTTTAATCAGTTCTTAATGCGGTAATGAATATCATCATCGATTTACACATGTATGCAGTGAATGACCGTGTGTTCTGAAGTCAATTGTCAATTAGTCTTAAATTGAAAAAGCTGATTAAGACCTTTTTAAGGGCAGTTATGGAACCACCTAAAGGGGATTGCAGAGAACAGGGCGAACTGAGATGTGCTGTTGAAGCCATATGTTCTCACTGAGAACGGATTATAATAATAATAGTACTTCTCACTTACCTATACTTTTCTATAATGTAGGCGATACCATCACTTATACTGGTTGAAAATTGTACTCGTGACTGTATAGCAATATTGATTATCTGTTTAGTTGTAAGTTTGCGTCGAAGTAGGTTTCCAGCAATGGTATACAACTGAAAGAGAAAAAGTAGAAAAGTGACAGCGTAGCATTCATTTACGGTTATTCAAAGGTTCATCTACGTTGCAAATGATCAGTAAACTCAGCTTCCGTTAGATTTAGTGTTATTGTAACAAAGTGTTACCTAGTCTACTTTTATTAGTGGTATTTATCAGATTGAATAGTTAGCTTGTCCTAATGATGATTAATTGGGTCTGAAATTTTCTGGAACATAATACTAAGTTACACGCATATTTGAAGACCACTTTATTTCAGCCTACTGAATTAATAATGAAAAGTGCTTGTCTCAAAATTTGAGAATTATAGAATCGATCACAAATTGGCCTGTGTATATGCCATACTCAATAGCTGGAGACATTAATGAGATGACCATCTAATTCTCCCTGATTTTCATTGATTCTCTTACTAATACTAATGGTGTGAACTGAATTCTTCCTTTTGCACACACGCATGAGCACACAGCTGACTAATTTCCATCTGAATCTCTTTTCCATGATTATTTGTCCAATACCTCATTGGTGTAGATTAATACCTGTATTATTTTCTATGAACTGAAATGATCTGAGTCCCTCAACTAATTCTAGAGAATATCCCAGCAACAGACAATGTGAACTTTTGATTATTTTGTAGGTAAAACTTATTACATGGTATTTAATTGGTGGATGGTGACTAGCAGTGGAATCCAGGATGCGCATTTCGTCCTATTTGGGACTCGTCACTGAATGTACCTGCATTTCTCAGTGAGTGATGATGTTCCCATCGAGGCTATAGCCCACTGCCCATAGTTTTAAACGCCAAAGCGTTATCCACTAGACCACTCGGGCCACGACACCCATCATCACTCACTGAGAAATGCAGGTACATCCAGCCGGCGAGTCCCAAATAAGATGAAATGCGCATCCTGGATTCCACTGCTAGTCACCATCCACCAATTAAATACTAATTAAATGCCCAGACACCGTCGAAGCATCTGCACAAGAAGCCGACATGTTAATCTGAGATCAAGCACTTCGGTCCAATCAATCGACGGGAAAATCAAAAATTCAATTAAATTAGTACATGGTAGTTTATTACCGTTACTTACTGGAACACAGGAAGTTTTTTGGATACGTGTATCCTGTTTACGAAATAGAGTTAGTCTGCAGTCACTTTTTTTTAATAAAAATTCAATAATGATGTTAGTTGATGTTCTAACTACTAGCACTGAACTCAGAAAATTCATCTGTGTGTTAGATATCCGATTATTCAGTTGGGTTGATGTTTATCAAATGACAGAGAGGCGATAAAATCTAGAAGTCTTACGCAGAAGAATAAGTGATGCCTAGAGATCTTAGCAGTATCCCGCTTTACTCATAAACCTTTTCTTATCAGTCATATATTTAAATTAAAGAGGAAAATGTGCATGATATCTGTCTCTTGTTACATGCTTCTGAATTTCAAATATTTTGCGATCAAAATTTGAATAGACGATTTATCCTATTATCAGATCCGTTAGAAGAATTCACCTGTTAGGCTTACTCTTTAGGAATCTAGTGATTCTTTACTGGGCAGGAGTTCCATATGAAAACATATGTTGTATTCTTTGCCTTTGTTATTTTCATCCATTGTTATTATTGTTGTTATTGTGAATTTGAGACACACAAACATGAATTTACCGTATGTTTTGTATAAATTACACAGAAACACTATTCCGTCGTTTGAATTCGGTCTCAGCCACTTTAGTAGGTCAATAGCATTAACTGTTTCGGTCATTATACATATATAGGGTTCCACTTTTATATTTTAAATTTTCTGTCAATGAAGATTGAGGATTTTGTTTCTTCATTTAAACTTGAAATGACTAGCAGAATATGCGTCTATAACAATTTTTGCCAAGCTTTAAATAGTAGTGAAAATGAATACGGGACAAGGGTTTTTGCTGATGAATTCAAATTAGGAAGCAAAAGGATTGAACGAAGAAATACCTACTTTTCAGTTAGATCCTCATCTATGGCTCTACTCTAATATATATCCATAGCATTTTTATTACAATACACAACAATTTACCAATCATGTTGCACAGATATGTTTGTTAACAATAATTAGTCAGCATCGACAGATCAAACGGTGGAGAGATAATTAACGAAGGAAACTAATACACACAATTAAAAAGTGGGAATGGTTACAACACGTGGATTGTATAATGCATAATTTTGGAAAAATGAAGAGTAATTAAGGAATAAATAAGCCTGTGCACAGGTTGATTACGTAACAGAATGTTAAAGGAAATAAAGCCATTTGGACAATGATAACATATAACTAAAGATGAAGTAGTACAATTAGGTAGGTTCATCATCGTATTTCTGAACATCATCCTGCAGCATGGTTAAGCAAGGGACAAACAAAATCTATTCGTAGCTCTATTTTAGCACACCTTGTAGATAGTAAGCATAAGGTTGACATTAATACAGCATTTAAAATTATTCATCACATTCCTACTAATCTTAATTTTGCTCTACGAGTTCGTCTTCTACATACAGCTGAAGCAATAGGAATCCACCTGAAGAAGCCAAACCTGTTTGTTCAGAAGAAATTTGTATAGCGACTTTCCTTACCTTGGCCATCGCTACATGAATGTATAAACAGGACTACTTCGCCTACTGCCCCTAAACCTTTTAAAATTATAAAACCTATAATTGTCCAAATTATTTCATTTTTTCTGACTACTTCATCTTTAATTACGTGTTATCCTTGTAAAATTATTTTATTCTTATGACTACTTCATCCTTAGTTACAAGTTATCACTGTCCAAATCGTTTTATTTTCTTTAACAATCTGTTATGTAATCAACCTGTGCACAGGCTTATTTATTCCTTAATTACTCTTCATTTTTCCAAAATTATGCATTATACAATCCACGTGTTGTAACCATTCCCACTTTTTAATTGTGTGTATTAGTTTCCTTCGTTAATTATCTCTCCACCGTTTGATCTGTCGATGCTGACTAATTATTGTTAACAAACATATCTGTGCAACATGATTGGTAAATTGTTGTGTATTGTAATAAAAATGCTATGGATATATATTAGAGTAGAGCCATAGATGAGGATCTAATTGAAAAGTAGATATTTCTTCGTTAAATCCTTCTGCTTTCTAAATGTCGAAATGGTTTTTTTTCTATTTTGAAATTCAAATTAAGGCGAGTGTACTATGGAGATCATGGGGATATTGTTTAGCGAAAGTACAAATAATACTCTTACACATAAGCTCCTCCAAAAACTTTTTGATTCAAGTCATTATTATTCTCAGCGTGTCATAATAACGATATCTGCCTTGTGCTTCATTTGCGTTGGTAGACTACTTATTAACTCAAATGCAATAGTTAATTCTAATTCGTTCACATCCATCTCTTCATTGAGATTATATTTGACGTGTAAACAAATGATTAAGCCTATTTACTTATCTATGATTCATTCATTGAAGGAATAAAGGAATGTAGAATACTAACAAAGCCTTTCCATATTGGTTTGTTTTATTAGACATACCACACAGTGAAACACTATTATTTACTGGACGACGTTTCTAACAAAAAATTATTGTTCATAATCAAAGCAATTATGGCATTCAACCCCACAGACTCAATTAGAAACAAGCTTTGTCGGTTATAGGATCCTGTGGAGCTTTTAAAACAAAGCAATTTAGTTTATCTGATACACTGCGTACAATGATTGTCAGGTCAAACTAGTAGAACAGGGGCAGCCAGACTAGCCGAACATAAAAACCTAGCTTAATCTAGATTGGTTGACCCAAATAAGATAAGAAATCTAGAGAATAGTTCAGCTATATCACTACATGCAGTTACACAACCATACAATAGGATGACAGTTTTAAAATCTAATGTCACAGGATGGAGGGAGAGATTGATGACAAAAGCTTTGTTTATCGAATCAACTGCAAATACATGTAATAGGAATGATTCAACACCTGTCCCAGGTATCTGGAAAATTCTACTACCCATACGACAAATAGAAGACAAAGAAAACTACAAAACTGAAGTTTCAAAGTCGTGTGATTACAATTAATATGATTATGAACAATAAATTTTATTCGAAGCGTCATCCAGTAAATAATACTGCTTCACTGTGTGACATATGTAATAAACAAATTAATGTGGAATTACTTACTACCACAGTGCCCAAGTTTTACACATATACTAACAAAGCCTGATAAACGTCATAAATGATAATAATAAAGTTATGATTATAAGTGGAATTTGTAAAACATTTCGAATTCATACAAAACATGTTTTTTTCCCAAGTCTTTCTTTTTATAGAATTGACTACGTTTAAGAAAGCTAATCGAACAAATCGAACTTCAGCCAATCAGAAAACCACTTATCAGGAATCAATATCCCAATGATTCAACCGACAGTCTAATACTTCCGAACAGAAAACACGCATATAAAATTTTTTTTATCAAATCGTATTCGGATGTAAACAAGATGAAAAGGCAGCTTAGTATCCAAAGTAATGGCACAGTCACTTCATATATATATATATATATATATATATATATACATGTCCAATGGTTTTAATTTAGAAACTGGGTTTGTTGGTGTGTCAAAGTTGTTTTTAGAATTGGTACACAATAGACAAACGTTTAAGCGGTTATTTTTGTTTTCTCGACTAATGAAACCATATTGTCTTACTGTTAGTGATTTGATTGTCAGATAGTCTTTATTATTAACCTACCTAGACTTGTGTGTTTATTATGGAAATATCATTGTAAAAAATGTTATTTAAACAATGCTTGACACTGTGCCAGTATTTAGAATTTGTGCCCTTATGTTATTTAATCTGAATTCATTTTGTATTTTGTGTATTATTTGCATGTTTGTCAACTAGATGAATCAGTAGTCACTGAACAGTTAACAGTTCAGTATTTCAATCGAAACTTAGAATTTAAGATACACCTTGTGTTAAATTGGCCAAAGAACTTGACTTCAAAGTCTTTTGTGGTTAGTGGTGATGTTCTGACTTGAGCTGTTCGGTCACTACTCATACTACTAAAATGTGGTTGTAAGTAGTATACAGACAATCAAGACAAAAAATCGCCTCAACAGTGGCCAATTACTTAAAGTAGTTACTTCCCTTTACATAATTTTTTCAACAAAATAATATGTATGAAAATGTGAATCATCTGAAATGCGTAATTTATTGTGGTGAGTTAATTTTCCACCATAATTATATCATTTAAAAACTGAATTCACAAGAATTGTGGTTAAACAAGTGAACCAGGAAAACCTAGTGTATAATTGTATCATGAATTGTTTCATTCAACTAATACTATTCTGGCCTATCATGCGAATCATTCTGGAATCAATAAAAGTGGATATGGTGTGGGCTGTTGGAAATTTGTTCGCTCTAACCACTTGATTTATAGCTTTTTTCAGCTATTTCCATTCTGTCTAGACAGTTATGAAGATTGTTTTCACTCCTGTTAATTTTTATATGCTAAGATGATTCACTACCTGTTCACGGTTTAACAGAAGTGGTACTAAGGAACTGTTGATAGTTATTCCATGTTATTTATATTCATTTATTAATATTTTGTTCCTTTAAGTCTCAAGTGGAACATAGATCTTCAAGTTAGTGCTTTGAAGTTTCACCAGCAGTGGTTTTATTTTAACGGCCTTACTACCAGCTTTAGTGAGGCTTAGGAATGCGTCGGCCGGAGATTGAACCCTGCGTGGTTAGCTAAAGTTCTACCGCTGTGCCACGGACGCAAGTTATGTTAATTAGTCCTTAGTAAATTGTAAACACGATTAAGTTCAACTCTCCCATGGAAGCATGAGTGCATAGCGCTGAAGACTTCAGAACTGGAACGAAACGGTTATGCAGTATTACGTTGGTTTCAATGGTCCTATAATTGATGTCACCTCATCATCGATTTCTTACTCCTGAGAATTCACAGTATGCAAAAAATATAAATAAATGTTATAGATGAAGACTCATTTCCACTTTTAACACTGTGGAGATGGACTTCAGCTAATCCACTTGAGCCTATATAACCACGTTTGCAGTCATTTCATTTGTGTGGTCAGCTGCAACATCAACAGCTTTGGCAGTGGGCAACAGGTTCACATATCGATGAGAAAATCAGGTGAGATTACTGGCTACCTCAAATAACTGCTATAGCAGCACGAGTATCAAAACAGATATTGGCATTAATAACAATAATATTGTACACTAGTGTTACAGTAACTTACCACTCCATCATCTTTTGAGTATAATATAATTATTTTACCAGATTCTGAATGACAGTGAGACGGTAGGTTCCATTTATTAAATAGGTAGTATGAGAATATTGCAGCATAACTCAACAGCCTGTCTTTATCCATATTACTAGAATAAAATGAGTTTAGGAGAAGAAAATCATAAAATAAACGGCGTAAAGTTTTATTCATTGACTCATTGTCTCGTATAAACTCTACAAGATTGTATAAGTCAAACAGTCATGGTGTTCTAGCTACCTATAAACTCTTTTTTACCGATAAATACACTTCACTTTCCTGCATTTTAGTGATTCTGCCAGGCAGAAATCTTTTAAGTCAAATTTGACTGCTGCTGGACAACCACTGTTCAAAGCAGAGTATTTGTGGCATACAACAATTTCGAGAAACTCTGCAAGTAAACAGAAGTAAAAATCCACTATCAGTACTCAGCCGGGACATTGCGAATATTTAGGAAAAGTCTAAGCTCTTGTTATCCTAACTTTGTTTTCAGTTATACTTTTCCGTTTGGTAATCTCCTGACTACTGTTTGCGTGATAATGAGTAATCTGATTACAACTTTCCAGCAATACTTCGCTGTCATTTAAAAGTTATCTTGGTCTTATTGGTTTGACTAGTCCATTTTTTTAATGGCTGATAAACGTATGTCTGATCTGAAAATCCTGTTTCTTTATGCCTTCTCCTACTGAACAAATGACAGAAGAAATTTCACAAATTTATCCTGATCTTTCCTAATCTAAGCTATATAAGGAGAAGAAGAAACAACATCGGTTAAAATCAGTGATTTTCTGAAACTTTCCTCTTAACAGATGGCATGAAAATTGTTTACAAAAGTATGATGTTTTCGATGGGCAAGCACGTTGCACTCTTCTTACAGTGTTTTTGTCTTGCTGAGCGCAGACAATATTCAGGTACTCATTATGGTAGCGTTTGAAGTGTGTATGATAAAGTCGAGCGTTTCTCAATAATTACTTGGTAGACTTTTCAGCTCCCAAACACACAAACTAAATAATCAAGATGGGATTGTCGACAGTATTTCCAAAGATACTTCTTTCCATTCTAGATTAACTTGAACAATGCGAGTAGACATTGTGTCCGAGTCGCTTAGACCTCCAGGAAATTTCTAAGTATCATAAATTCACTGCCAAAAATTCTTCAAAATCGATTATTTTATGAAAAAAGGCAAAAAAAATCACTCTCGACTTTTGCTTTACTAATTTTAAAGTTATTGTTGAACACCATGTCATTCGAAGTCTAATTGTTAGACTTTGAAGATACAACTACAATAGTAGGGATTTGATTGGTTACAGGATTTCATCATGAGCTGACATTGGTTGTCTGTTTGGATTCAACATAGAACTTGGCACCGAAGTGCAGCAGTTCGAGTTACCACGACATTGGTTAGAGAACCATTGGTCCACTGGATTGGATCCCAATGGCTTAACGGTCTACGAGCTAGCTCGCCTTGTAACCAGAAGGTCCTGGGTTCAAACCCTGAGGAGTGCTTACTGATGAAACGTCCCGAACTAGGGCAAAACAGCTGTCCGGTACTCCCAGGCTTTCCAATGGTTCTCTAACCAATGTCAGCTTATGATGGAATCCTGTAACAACTACAATAGTGTTTTAATACAGTGAATGTAGTTTTCCAAATTATTATTATGGTGTGCTAATGCATCAGGTAGATTTTGAATCACCTTACTGAATTTATAGAAATGTGAGTAGATTTCTTTTATTGGTGTATGTCGATAACTGCACAGCCATATCACAAACACGTAACCAGATATTCCAACATCTGGAACAGGTGAATCATAATGCTGAAAACGGTAAAATGTAGTCATAAGATTATAAACAATTAATTAGTTATAGGTCTTTTCACTCGACCAAGGATCATTCTTGAAATTCTGTCGGCTAATGACACTATCAGCTTTAAGAATCACAAGATAAATCTGATTTTGCTGCCATTCTTGTTGTTGTTGTTGTTGTTAAATTTAGCTTCAAACAGCCTCCAGGGATTAAGGAAAACTCTAGTCGTTTATTGGAATCAACCTGCAGATGGAGCCATTCAAAGGAAATAAATTAAATCATCACAAATGGCAAATTTCTTTAAAAACTTACTCAACTTCTACCTTTTTAACTATTGCTACGCCTATTACAGGTCGTGGGTTATTTACGTCACAGCTGGGTTTATCGAAATTCACAGATGTTTTGATGTGATGTAGCTTGGCATTTAACATATTGACTGAAAAAATATGTTCAGAAGAAAAAAAAAGATTTGAACGAGGTATAAAGTTTGATAATACGATTAATCATAATGCATTACTTATTCTGATTATCTGCATGCATCGGTTTAACGTAGACGATTACGGTGAACTTTCGTTAAACTGATTAGTCGACCAAGAAATTTCCGACCGCCTAAAACTCAGATTGATGTTAGACTTACTCTGTTTTGTTTTGTCTATACCGTTTTAATAATAATACTGTGTTTTTTGAACAGCTAACTTGTAGGAATTTGACTTGTCTCAGCTTTGATTACGAACTGATGTCAATTAGACAACCGTTAAGAACAAGGGAGCATTAGACAGCTGTTTAGCCCTAGCTTGTTCTCTCCAGCAGTACTAATCCAATATGCCAAAAGTGATAGGACGCAGAATCAGATGGAAGTATGAAAGCTGAAAACGTTTCTTTTCAAATTTCCATAACGCTAGCAGTCTACTCTAATGAAAATGTATTGATTGAACAAAACTTTTGTGATGTACATAAATCTTACTTATTAGTAGTGTGAAAACTAAGTTAAAAGTTTGTCATAAATGTCATTCTCTAACTTTTGTAAAACTGCAATAGCCATTATTTCAAAACCATGTGTAGTTAATCAACTGTGTTTTAATTAGTGGAATAATATGGCCACTTTATTTAAACCATGAGTGAATGAGGATCATTATTTTTAATGAAACTCAGTATGCCACCTTAGCTCCAATCGGTTATTAAGGTTTTAGCCATAAGTTTTAGCATAGTTGTCAGTTTGAATACTGAACTGATCAAATCACACATTGTGATGACTATAATACTTAGTGAAGGAAATCAGGCAGTCCCAAAATTCTCATATCGTCAGATAGCAACAAATGAAGCACTGTTCAGGAGTATTTAAATCTCACAAACAGGATAGATGTGAGTCAGACAAGTTTGAAAAGAAACTTGAATAGTTCTTAGTCTGAAAAAAATGAGAGAAATGGTAAGATTTGCGAATAGACACAAATATACTTATATTTATTAGCAGTTTCCCAGGGTAGTCTCTTAATATTGATTTCTATCATATGTAAACTAAGTAATTCACATAGCAGACAAGTAACTTTCAAATGTCTTGTAGGGATCAAAGCTCTTATTCAGACACATGTGACTATTCATTATATTCAGCTGTATCTTGCTTATACAAACAAAAGCGCACATTCGTTGTATGCCATTATTTCATCCAGTCTTGCCAATCGGTTGTTTTCGTAATATAGATTAAATCTGATCTACATACCATACACCTAAATGTTACTTCTTTGATGAATATTGCCAATGTATTTTTCTTTTAATAACTGGCCTCCGTTCAGTATTGATTAACTCATTTATTTGTTAAAATGATAAATATTGATCACTTCATGGCATATAATTAAATATTTCAGGGAATGGATGTGAATAAATTAAAACTGAATTATTCTATCATCACAATGAATTGTTATAATTTAGGCTATTTAGTGTTTTGCATATCAGCACCACATGATGTGCATTATGTGTGATTGGGAAGTCTAATGTAAACAAAATAATTCACTGGTTAAGATTCAACTACTTACTGTTTAAAATTAAATTATATTCGAAATAATAAATTATGTTAAACAGTTAACAGTCTTCGCAATAAAATGCTAACTTTATACGTCAATTCACTTGTAATATTTAATTATGACAGTAATGGCATTACGCATATAGTTATCAACATTGCTTTTCCTTCAAAAGTTCCATTTAGGGTTAATTAACTGCGTATTTTGAAGTCGAAAAATGTCAGTTAGTATCATGTGCCGAAGTATCAATTCTGGATAGTTAAATCTCAATATTTAGTTCATACTGGAAGATATTGTTGAGTTTGATGTCAAGAAAATTGGAACCAGTCTTATTGTTTCGTTTTAATACTATACAATATCATTCAGTGGTCTTAGTATTCATTTGTAAGAAATTAGATCATGTGGTTAAACTCTGTCTGATTGATGAAACGTACAACAAAAACAAAGAAACTAGAATGTAGAGTAGGAATGGCTCAAATCACTTGTACTCCACTCGTAATTTTATTACACACTGAACCTACCTCCACTGAATTCAAATTGTGACGATAGGTAGAAAGGTAACATAACGCCTAGAAACAAGACAGTGTTTACAAAATAGCTGTGAAGTATCAACGATAACAGTAGAAATACCGCTATTTTTTCAATTTGTTCCACTGCTACTGGTCACATTTGGGATCTATCAAATTACTCAATATAAAGAAATTCCCTACAAAATTAGCCCATCTAGAGTCAATCAAGTGATATATAAGTAGATAATGAGGAGGGTTATAGACTGTTGTCACTAGACGATGATTGGTCTAAGCCTCCCCTTCGCAAAAGATAGGGAATTGCCTTTATCTGGAGTGGATTCATTTTGTTTCAGTGGATAGAAAATAGGTGTTATTCAGGTTGTCATTTATACCGTAAACGACACTCATTTTATGATGGATACATTGTGCAGTTTATGAAATAAACTGATGGTGAAACAAAGTACAGATAGAAGCAAACTGTTAACAGACAATCGAATAAAAATCTCAATTATATCTTCTTTTGAATGACGTCATTGTTACTGTGTAACAACAGAAGGCAAGACACGAAAGCCAAGGTAGATTTTTCATTAATCAAACAGCCGTTTATATATCTACAGTTTATATACGTTAACCAATCAGTGGGCGTGTGATTTCAGTTTACATCGAACGACATGAAATACAATGTTCAAATATGCACAGTATTTTGTTGCAAGCGCAGTATATAACCGTCGGAAAGTATTCTGTCTTTAATATCAAATAGACTGTTCAAATAGATATATCGTATTCTTCTACTAATGCAATCTTGAACTTTGGGGATATGTGAGAAAAATATTCCATTGGAACACACTGTCTGTATCACTCCACCACAATCGAAAACCAAAAATCATCTAGTTTCCTATATGATGGAGAATTATTTCATACTTTTGTTTGCCATAGCCTTTTCCTTTAACACTTAGACTACCATCCAGTTTTTATACAATCGACATACTGAATAACAGGTGAAATCAGTCAGTCTGCTTTAATCATGTGCTTCCTTTCTGTGTTCACTTTTCGTGAAAGTGTTGTTAGTAGTGTGTGTATTGATGAACAGCATGATCAGCAACTTGTGAACACAGAAAACGTTAATCAGCTGGCACCTACAGTTGTGGTAATAATTTTTCCTTTCAAGCAAAAAGTGATTGAACAATGAATGGCTACAGTTTAAATTTTTCAAATAAGTGCTTATGCTGTCTTAGTGTGTTACAGGTTTTTATGAATTGCCATAAATTTCCAAGCAGAAAATTGTGTCATGACAAAGCCAAATAATTTTATTCTCATTAAAAACTGAAAATTAATCCCAGTAGGAAAAAAGAAAGTTGAAATATATTGTTTGTTTTTTTGGTGTTATGATAAATGACCAAGTGGTTGGTCAATCAGGGTGAAAAATATCACAGCATAATGTAAGAAATATTGGTTAATAATGATTTATGAAGTAAATGCACAGACCACCCGCCTTTTTTCTCTTTAAAGAAACAGATTTTACTGACTGCTTAAGGTAAATATGAACTAATGAGGATTGAGTTATCAGATGTTTGTTTGTAGGGACTAATCGGTTTCGCCCCAGTTTCGAACTCTTCAGAGTGCGCACCCACCAAAGTTCGTATCCAGGAGCTTTAGGTTAGAACGCTACCCTGTAGACTATTCAACCACTGAGACCCTATTCAATGGCCGATGAATTCCAGCTTCACCGAATTCACTATATCTAGCGAAGCCTCTAACCAATCTTGTAGGCGAGTAATTGTTCTCTTACTTAACTTGGTGGACCCCACTGGATACGAGTCCTCACTACAACTCCAGATAACCTCTTGCATAGGATGAGCTTTTTGTTTTAATTATCAAGGATACAAGTGATAGACCTATAAGCGAAAATTTCAGTGTTCAAGAGATCATTAATCAAATAGCAACTTTGCAGATGGACAAAACAAAACGCAGTCAGCAATGGAAGGAAAGCTGCTTATTTGAGAAAGGAAACTACAATGATTTTGGTAAGCATAGTAAGCCTAACTTTATTTCCTGTGAAATGATGAATAATAATTGTGGGAAATACGATCCAATTCCATGAGACGTATCATTTTTCAGAAGAATAATCCGCTTAAAAATCTCATTTCATCGTAATCACCCAGTAAAGGATAAAGTCAAATTAAGTTTACATAAACACATGTGTATTACAGAATAAAACTGTATCTACGACTAGGAATGTTGACAACTATACTTTTAACTTCGAATTATCTTAGCTAAATACATCCCATGAAAATTGAATCAACCATCTTAAAAACTAGGTTGTGCTGACTTCATTTTGCAATGGCTGTAATGCCAATGAGGAGGATATCTTTGAAAATTGTTATTTACTATAAAAGTTCATTTTTATCTCTTTCTCATAACTTTTATCTTTAAAGTTGTTTGTCCAACCGAATTCACTAAGCGTCAGTAAGTGAAAAAAAAAACCAATAGCTATGACAACAACAACAACAACAATAATGCTAATAGCAATAATCATAATAACAACAGAAATCGATTGTTTGATGCGGTATGATTCATGAATAACAAGGTTATTCAATTAAAGGTGATTGGAGGATAGTGTTTGTTATTATGATACATTTATTCGCCAATAAAATAAGGGAATATGTTAGCATTCCTTAAAAAAAGTTATTTTGTTGACTGACATAGTGAACATAATCGTCAACTGGTAGATTGCGGTTGTTTGCTAATTTGTCTGACCTAAAGTATATATATATATTGTAGATACCTAGTGGGTATTTTTGACTTGGTCTCCAATTGATTTTTTTTCTGACCTTATTTCTATTTGCCTAGTCTGTTTATTTCCTTCGTTTGCCTCTCTACCTATCCTGTCTATCCGTTAACTCGTCCGCTTA